ACACTTAAAGACAATCCGATTGCAAAATTGTTTATCCAAAGGTAGAAGCAGTGACAGCGTAGAAAGGTCTGAGGACGTCGGCTTGCGTTCGTGGAGCTTATAGAACGAGGACAACTTGACTAAATAATTATACACGGTTGACAGACAGTAAAACACTGGGGAAAATTTGGCAGTGAAACGTACAAGTAGTTTTTAAAAATTTTGCTGCACGCCTTGACGGAAATACCTGCATAAATTGACTGCCGTAAAACCTTGAAAAAATGGTTTGAAATGTGGGAAATTTTTACAATAAAATCCATTTGTGGAACAGTGCCGTGAGAACAAGATAGCTACAGGCCTGCATAGACATGCTTATAAACATGCTCAATGTTCAATTTTTAAGTCTTTCAATCTAATACGAAACACATAGAGAATGCCACACAGAAGAGCCAAATCACGGAACGAAAACTAGGCCCTTCACGTAAATCAGATGGTGAATATCTGCACAGGGCTTTACACTACAAAAAGATAGCCCGCTAATTTGATATGTTTTATAGCTACGTGTCTTGCTCTGTGTCTGAGGTTCAACAGTGGTTGCGTACTTTGAATCCGAACAAAAGTATTTAAATAAAGATAACAAATTAAAAAAGCAATTTAAGCAAATTAATAATTATGAACTACAATCAAAAATCACTGCCTATACCTACTTAAAAATTGCTTCTGAAGAACAATTACTGCTGCTAACTGAAAGAGGGTTCCTATTTATATTCAGTTAGGTCGGGCATCAGTCCCTACGTATGCAGATATCTATTAAAACGGGTTAAGACTGTAGTGGACACGGTTTCATCTACATAACAAGATCTTGTAGCAACTGATGCACTTTCAACCAAGCGAGTACAGTATCGTATCCAGTGGTAGGGGCTCTACGGATCAAACAGCGAGTTTGTGGAGCTTGACAGCCGAAGTTTTCGAAGGCAATCGATTTTGCTTCACCAAACGATTGCTATGATTGGTTTCAGACTGCTTATAAATGGTTGAGTCAGCGATTTCTGATTTCATAACCCTTGACTTCCATTGTGTCATTTCCGCTGTATTCTGGCTTTTCGCTTTCTTGTTAGTGCGACTCTTATAAAGACATTCATTACTTCATGTGTCATCAGGCTTGTTGCCTCCTCTTTTTGAACCGACATCTTGTGTAACTTTGTACAGTTTCGATCGCCGTACGTGTTGAAGGATGTGACAGATGAAGGAAGATGACCGTCAGAGTTGAATTTTCGATAGCGTAGTGCCGATATGTTCATGTAACAGTGTGAGTGGAAAAAAATTTGTAGACAGCTACTTGGTGAGCGTTAATCTACTCACAAAAACATGAGAAAGGGAAAACCGGCAGAGTTCGTTGGGAGTGTGAGATCTCTAATTACCGAGTAAGTAAAAGATTTCTTTTTTCGGTACTACGCGTTGTGTTGATTACCAAACTTTGATTGTCTTCATCTTTCATAACCGCTTCTTTTCGGTCCTGCAGGCAGTCGCACCAGACAGTGCTTACAACTTCCATGATCTTGTGCCAGAGTTTAAGATTCGGCAGGAAACAGCTGGAGTCTGAAACAGACTCCTTCCATATATTTGCACCAGGCTAATCCTTGCCGTCCCCTGGGCCTTCTGCCGGTAGGTTAGGCAAGAAATAGTTGCTTCGTCTTCCTTTCTGGGGGCAGTCGCAACATGTGGCCTAACAGTCGTAGATGTGACTATGTGACTTCTCAGTCTGAAGAAGCAGCGTCTGTACACCAAGGCCCTTGCGCATGTCTGTATTCCGGACTACATCAAGGCGCTTAAGGCTAGCGACTCAGGAATCCCATTATCGCCGCCTGTAGTCAGGATCCACGTTTTTCAGTCGTAATCCACGACTCACGACCGCAGGTATGGATGGGGAGAAATATCGACTTGAATACCGCGAGCATGGGCTTCAGACTCAGCTCATTTGTAGTCACAGTGGTTCGGTATAGTTTATCCAGAACGCCACTAGCTACTCCTGGCCGCCGGTCGATCTCTTCCTCAAATTTTCCATCACCAGTAAGCACGACTCCGTGGAACTTGAATTTCACCTGCTCCACTACATATCCGTTAGTCTGAAGGGAACAACGGACAGGAGAATGAAATAACACTAGGCGTTTTGTTTTGTGCGTTCATGCGCATGCCGGGCAGGTCGCACTCGGTTGCGAACCTTTCCAGGGAACACTGTAGATTCATCTTCATCTTCCATCGCCGCTTCTCCTTTCGGGTCGCGGAGGCAGACGCGTCAGACAGTGCTT